CTTCGAATAATCATTGCTACTTGTTCTGCACGACAAAAACGCTTGTTTCGCCTGAAAGATGCCGCATATCAAATGTCTCGCTTCAAATGTGATCAATTTTAGTGAACTGTTACAGAACAAATGTAAAACCAATGTTGAGGACATGATTGAGTATCGAGTTCGTATATGAAGTCAAAAATGGCTACAAGCTTCTACACGAAAACCTTATAAAGAGTTCCATAGTTTTTCCATCCTTTCAGTGAAGCGCTCAAATGTATCAACGCAAGTTGACGATGCATACGTTGCAGCATATGGATCCTTTCTCGTTTCAGCAACCTGAACAGATTGAAAATGAATTCAACAAATACGATGAACGATTTTAATCCAATAGCAAAACAGATGAGTTTTCCGTGTGTCATATGGACGAAATTATATGAATTGTAAATGGACGTTTCAAAGAATTTGTACATAAGGTAGCTATATCTCGTGAAATAATACCAAACGTGATTGATTTCGCTTAGCTTCACCGAATAAGGGATTTTATTCGGTAATACTTTCAAACACATATCATGTCAAAAAACATTGATTAAGAGTGAGATCATCACTAGATCGATCGCTTTGGAAGTAACCTTGAGCATTCGTAACGTCCGTTCTTTTTGGCCAATGCCTCAGCCGTGTAACCCATGAGATTCCTGGCTCGAAACACGTCGAAACTCCATCGCCTTGTCAACTCATTCACCAACATTCCAACAACTGACGTTTGACCGTAGATAGCCGCATACATCAACGCAGTATTGCCCAAGCGATCAGCTGCGGTCAGATTCACCTTCAGCTGAATCACGAAAACTCAAAATACGTTACCGTGAACAGTGAATCGGGACCGTTCGAAATAACCATTTTCTGATTACCTCTGATTGATGATGCTAATGACTGCGAATCAAAGCTATAAAAAAAGAAACAATCCACTGACAGTCAGTCTAAAGATATCTTGATAATCACATATACATAAGAATTCTCTCTGGGAACGCAGTTCATGAAACGACGTAGTGGCTGATGTCCTCAACTTGTACGAAATGGTTCAGTAGTATCTTGTACGAAATGGTTCAGTAATATGCCGGCAAAACAATGCCGTAATCAATGAATCAGTTGCAGTTTTCGGACAAACCATAAAACGGGCGAACATCCTAGGGCAGTGGCAAAAGTAACCTGGATTAATAGCTGGGCGACTGCTTCGTTCCTCATTAGACAAGCCAGCATCAAGGGAGTACGTTTCTGTTTGGCATCACTTATTGACGGATCACATCCCGACCTCACCAACATATTGATATATTTTATCTGAAAACAAACCCATATTCCGCAGACTGATCTCCTAATTAGATCGCTTGAGAGTTCAGTGCAAACATTCCAGTGAATTATCATAAATTGATGTATAGAGAAAGCAAATCACTTCACTTCTCTTTATTGAAATGAACAAAGTGCGTTGAAAACAACAAGCAAATAAGCACTGAAAGAACATATTTTTCCGTTCTTAACGAAACAATGGAAGCAAAAATTTACAACACTCGGAAACAGTCAAAGCAAGAAATTCTCTCTGGATGTTGGTATGAACCAGTGAAAAAAAAATGAATGAGAAAGTAAATGCATGATAAAACGAAAATTTCGGAAAAATTCTCAGCAGCTCTCTTGTTTGTTTGATTCAAATATACTTTATAATGCACACTTTGGGTTCAGGAAGTAGAAATTCATATTCAATTGCCATATTAGTCAAAACAATTCGACGAAATTGCCACAGTTGATAGTCAAGACGATCACGACAGATCAAGGATATAGTACTGTTTATCGGAAGTTCCGTATCCGCACCACTCCGAAAGATTTCCGTGGAAATATAATCGCTTATCGGGAGCTCTCCATAAGATCTCGGTGATATCCCAATATCGCATTAAATTCT